TCTTTCTTTTAACGCCGTGTTTGCATAATGTTTTGGAATCGCAGCATATCTATAAGATTGAATAAGTACAATCTCATGCCTTTCTCATTTTTTTCATTTATCAAATTCTTCCTTTACCGTTCCATAGTTACTAGAACCACTTAATTTTGACTTAATGCCACATCACTCCATATTCCCCCCTTTAGGGTAGTGCTAAGAGTTAGAGCCACGACGATCTACCTATAGATGTATTACCTTTTCATCTTTGGCGTCTTTTCACATCATTGATGACCCTTCCTTGCCTTGCGGTAATCCTTCTGTACCAAGGATGAAAAAATTCCTTACTCGCGAGGTTGACACTTAGTATAAATGGCACATACAGTCCCTTAAGCTTAACTTTGCTCACATTGCTTACTTTAGGGAAGCGTTTTCCTGAATGACCATTTTCTGAATTTCTCATGAATCTTCTTCTATTGTCCATTCTATTATCGCCGGAGCGTAATCTAAAATTCTCATGATGTCGACCATTATCAAACCACTCAGTCCCTAGTTCATGTTTAGTCTATCTTGTTCACCAATCTATACTAATTTCTATTACTTTGGGGTCTTACTTTTCCTTCTGGTAATCACGTTAGAGTCACATGCTTATTTCTCGAAATGAGGATATGACTTTATAGACTATACTCTTTTATTGTCTCAAGGCCTATCACCTCTCGTCTCTTCCTTCACCTGACTATAGGATCTGTAATACTATCTTTTTTAATCTACAGTTGTCATCCATGTATCATATCTTACTCACAATGCTTCCTCATCTCTCTTCTTATTTCTCTGCTAATATTTCTACGTATCACTTTCTTCTGAAGACTTCAACAAGATATTCTTTTGCTTTTGGCTCCCCTTGCTTTATTCATTGATTCTTCGTGTTGCCCAACATTCTCGGTCTACTAGGGACGGGATCCACATTAAGATAATATTTATCCATTTAAGACTTCTAGTGCCTATCTTTATAGTCTCACATCTAGCTGTTCTATTTTAGAGTGCACCATCTAGGTGTCTCACAAGGAGATTCATTAGCACATTTGCACTATCCTTCGAAAATGTCAACTAATGCAAACAATTCATTCACCATTTTGGGTCACTTTGACCCCCAGGCGGATCCTGATATCCATCCTTCTCTTATACTACTTGTGTTATTGTTGGAGGTAACTCAAAAGGCTTATATATCTCTTCTTGAATGGTAAATAATGATAATCTTCATTAACCGGGTACCTCATACCCTTCAGCTTGCTTTTTTTACTTGCTGAAACTTGTGTCTTCCTTCCGATTCTTTAAAAGTGGATAAGTATTCTTGCCTTAAAGCTCCTTATCAAGAACCTTACACCTTTTAGTACATGCATGATCTGCTGAAGACATCACATTTACTCATCATAAGCACGATGCAAAACCGAGTTTCTCTGACTCAACACTTCCACAGCTAAATCTCGTACCCACCGTATTTCTGAATGTAGGCATCGTTGTATTACGAATAAGATAGAGTTTAGGAAATTGAGTTCTTACAACTGAGCTCTACCTCACAATCTAGAGTAAGAAGAAAGAGTGACAGTCCTATATGCCCTGTAGCCTTCTGCTTATAAGTGTGGTGCACGACACACCCATAAACAAGACTCTACTAGATACGACTTGTAGACTCGCTAGGACAGAACTGCTTCGATACCACTTTTGTCACACCCCGATCCTGGGGGGCAAGACCGGCACCCGGTGCCTCACCTATCCTTGCGTACTAACTTGCGACTAAGGGACTCTGAACATATAATGTCATACTTTGGCCATGGGCCACAATGCAAGACAATCGCGAATGCAGACTAAACACCAATATAAATTTGGGCCGACAAGGCCATCATAACTACTACAGCTGGCCAACCAACAAAATATACATAGGCCTACAAGCCCAACATACCGCACTAACTGACAGGATATGTCTACAAGCCTCTACTGATGGATATACTGTGATCGGAACAGGGCCCCGACCTACTCATAACATCATACATATATACACAAGATGTACATAAAGCTCTAGACCCGGCAACTCCGAAGGGCATGGAACTTACCGATCAAGCTAAACTCGGGCAACACCTAATGAGGAGGTCTACCCGTCTGTCTGTCTGAACCTGCACGCATGAAATGCAGTGGCCCCAGAAAAGGGATGTCCGTATGAAACAATGTACCGAGTATGTAAGGCAATATACTGAAAGTTGCAACTGAACTGATAATATAATAACTGAAAGTAACTAGGAGNGTACATAAATTCAGGAATATGAATTTCTCTTTATGCCTCGTTATCAAACTCGTGTAATTACAAGATCATGCCAAAATGAAGGAAGGGCTTAGCCTTAACATACCTGAGCTGATTCTCTTGACAATCCTTCCAACCCATGTCAATTGCGATAACATGTAACGGCGGATCGATGTAAGGAAAATCCATATGATATTCTTGAGAAAGATTGCACTGTACTCCCTTAAAATCGCAATATCTAGTTGCCATAATATTACGTAGTCTCGTATGATTTTTGTAGCAAAATTCACATTGCTAATCATTCGGAATGAGCTGCTATAGTATTGAGTAATATGACACCTATTGTATGCACTTTAAGAGTCACATTTGGTGTCTTTGATCTTGGTTTTGATTGCTGCCACGTTTTTGGCTTACTAAGCATAAATTACTTAATTAGCTTAATTTGCTTGGTTAATCTCCCACTAAAATCCATAATTACCCAATTATCCACATAATTAAGAATTATCTCAAATTACTTAAAATATTTATCATTGTTTTAGCACACCTTATACGCCTCACTATCATGGTCATGTGGTACCTTGTATGGCACTAGTCCATTAATACGGGATATTATAGCTTGGACCGTATTTTATCTCCAACTTTGACGAAATTTATTTTCTTCGATTTTCTTACCCTCTCACCTTCACGAATTTATTCATCACTTGTTTGAAATAGCATAATGCTTATAATCTCAAAATAATCGCAATCCAGAACTTACGTTGATTAACTTACGACGAAACTTTAGCATACGAAAATGCGGTATGTAACAAAAAAGTTATAGTATAATTGCATGTAAATTGTATTTTTTTTGTAGTTATATATATTTTTATTTGAATGTTGTATGAAAGTTAAAAAATAGTTGTAATGTATGAATCATTGTATAAAATTTGTATTTAAGTTATTAATACTATCTTTTTACATAAAATTGTTGATATGTTTCAAAATTATATGAAGAGAGAAAGTTTTGATTGGAATTTTAGAGAGGAAGAAACACACACCAAATACAAAATATATATAAATCAGATACAAAATATATAAAAGACATATTGTATAAAATTTATAAAATTGTATTTAAGTTGTATGATATTGTAGATGTATTTTAACTAGGTAAAACTAATGTATGGAAGTTGTAGATAGGTTATATAAGTATATAATATATAATTAGTTGTATGAAATTTATATATGTATGTATGTTGTTGTAGATATATCAGTTTGTATTAAAGTTGTACGAAGTTTATTTTTAAATTTGTATGTTGTTGTACCATCAAGTTGTATAATATTAATTGTAAGTATGATGTATCAGTTTTAGTGCTTATTTAAATAGGTTTCGTTAATTTGTGATAAATTAGTGTATTGGTTAAGTTAATCATCAAGTGAAACAGAATACTTTACTGGCCCCGCACGATAGTTATTAACCTCATAAAATCTATGGCAAATTTCGATATATATCAATAACTTTATGTAAAAAGATAGTGTTGATAACTTAAATACAAATTTTATACGACGATTCATACACTATACAACTATTTTTTCAACTTTCATATAACATTGAAATAAAAAAATATATAACTACAATAGAATACAATTATACTACAACTTTACTATAATTTCGTAAGTATATTGTATGTCATGTCTTCTTCTTCTTCTTCTTCTTCGAGTTTCAATCTGAAATTCCGCCAAAATCAAGTCTAATCTTCACCAAACACCCTCAAAATTGAGATATAAACTCCAAACAATATTCTCAATTGTTTACAACAACGCCCAATCCAAATAAATTATGATTTTTAAAAACCTAAATTCGAATTCAAAGCTTTATGATAGATTAGTGTTTGAATCTTCAATTCCTACAACCTGGAGGTTACTTCAATAGGTTGATTGGCGGAAGACAACTTTTAGGCTTACCTTATTGAGAGAGAAAGACGGTGAGAGAGAGTGATGAAGAAAGAAAGAAAAATTGATGAGAGAGGCGGCAATGAGGAAAGAGGAGATGAGAGAAAAAAGGAAAAGGATGTAAATAAATCACCTAATTTAAGGCACTAATAATGGATTGTATATAATTTGTAAGTAATCCTTATTTAGGGTGATAAAACTAGAACAATTTTGGTAAATAAGTTTCAAATATTGTATAGAAAGGAAAAAATGGCATAAGAACAAAGTTTACAAGCCACATAAGAACAAAAGTGAAAAAGATTAACTAAAATGACGTGTTTTATATCATATGAAAACCATACTAATTACAAGAATAAAAAGAAAACTACATAAGTTGTAGTGTCAATGTTGCTAATGAAGAATTAGAATTTAAAATGTAGTAGTACTTATGTAGTAAAGTAGTAGGAAATGGTTAGGAGGAAATTCGAAATGAACAAACCTAACTGCCACAGTTTCGGGGTCGTAATCTCAGCAGTTTCTCTTCTATAACGCCCCTCTTGCATTTTTCAGGAAAAGCCTATTCTTTTAGTATCAGTTACCCATCCTCTTCCTACTTTTCACTTGATTGGCTTGACTCATCACTTCTAATTTTTCTATACCAAAAAAAAAATACGTTAGTTACGTTTCATTGCCAAACCATGCAGACACACACAATAAACAATTAAACAAACAAGAAAATAAAATTTTCATTTAGCAGTATTTTAGTAGTATTAGAAACAAACAAACTAACTAACAAAAAAGAAACCAACTAGAAGTGGTTTCGTCAATGCGAGCAGTTTACGTTTCATGCCAACAACTCCTCTTTCCTTACGGTTATTGTTACGCTGATTACATGTACATGTTCATCTTCCCTTCCTTCCTTTTCTATTTCTAAACCCTAACCATTTCTTCCCTTTATACTATACACATATAATATTCAATGGATGGTACTAGTGAAAAGATCAAAGGATCATGGAGTCCCGAAGAGGACGCCATGTTGACTAAGCTAGTGGACCAACATGGTCCACGAAATTGGTCCCTTATAAGCACCGGCATTCCCGGTAGATCCGGTAAGTCTTGCCGTCTGCGGTGGTGCAATCAGCTCAGCCCCGCCGTGCAACACCGTCCTTTTACCCCTTCCGAGGATGCTATTATCCTTCAGGCGCATGCTGTTCATGGTAATAGGTGGGCTACAATCGCGCGCCTCTTACCTGGAAGGACAGATAATGCCATAAAAAATCACTGGAACTCCACGCTCCGTCGTAAGCGACACGCGCCGGAGGCGCCGGCAGCGGCGACTATGCTTATGGCATTGGATGAGTCGAGGACTGGGTCATCGTCAGAGTCCAACTCAAAGAGGCAGTGTTCTCGTGCATCGCAGGAGCAGAGTAGTTGTGGGCTGGACGCTGATGATTTGGGCCTTAATGGGCCGGAGACTTCATTGACGTTGTCGCTGCCTGGGGGAGGATTGCTACAGTCACTTGCTGTTGATGAAGGGAAGGTCAAGGATGAAGTTCCGCCACCGATCAACGGTGATCATAAAGTGAAGGAGGAAAAATGTACGGTGGAGATGGAAGAAACATGCTTGGTGACGATTATGCAGCGTATGATAGCACATGAGGTTCGTTGTTACATTGACAAATTACGGGCTCAAGGTGGGCTTGGAATTGGGCTTGCCTTTGAGTCTGATGTTCCAAAGCAACCTTAGAAATTACATCTCGTTAATTAGGATAATTATGAAAGTTTTAAACCTTCTTATCTTTCAAGGCCAAAATGGCACCTTGCACTTGAATTTCTAAGTGCTTTTCTCTTTCATACCGTTAATTTAAATAAATAAATTACTATTGTTTCAAGTTGTGAATTTTCTTGCACTTAGGATCTCATAATTCATAGAACCATTAGTAGGAAAAGACTGAAACTCGATTAAATTATGTGATTCTTGACGCGACTACTTTTTAACAGTGGCAATGGTCATTTGAAAACGACACTTGGATTGTTTTGACTTATTTGGTATGTAATGGCTACAGTTAAGAACACTTGCAAGCATCAAGTCTAATCAGTATTTGATTTATCATTACCCTATAAGATGGAATTATAAATGCACTTTTTATCATATCCTTTGGTTACTACATATAGGAATTCAGCCTTCGATTAGTTAAATGGTCGTGGTGAATTGAGTATTCGATTCCATCTCTTCTTTTTTTTTCTTCTAAATTCTTTGAGTTGGAACAATCAACAGAGATGGTAGTATTTTGAAACAAAACAATTTAAAAAATGAGAGTGTTTCCTTTCGTTTCATGACTTAGTTCAGATCCCCTATTTTGTTTAAGAAAAGGGAGGGAGAAGGATAAGAACGTCCATCCAATTTGAGTAGTTCTGTAAAATAGACCTGAAAAGTATTTGATAAGAAAAACAGCAAGCAATTGCTCATATTGCTATAACTTTTTTTCACCAAAGTCATATAACTATGTTTTTCCACACAAAAAATACAAAACTTTCACTAACTCACAAAATTCATAGTGACTAGAAAACACAACTTTCCAATAGTATTTTCTTATTCTACATTTTTATTATTATTTATTTCCAGTGTAATTAATTATAACCCAATTAAAATAGAAAATACATATTTTTACCTCCCAAGAATATATATATATNAATATATATATATATATATATATATATATATATATATATATATATATATATATATATTAGCGAAAGCAATTAGTTTTGAGTGACCAAAATTTTTTGCCCTTAAAATAGGAATTACCCGACCCGACTCAATACCCGTATTCATAAAGTAAAATGATACCAAAAGTGAATCTTGTTAGAACATGCGCAGCGGAAGCAAGCATACAAATCAGGCATCAAATACATGTAAACTAGACAATGCTATAATCGCCAGATTAGAAGCACTAACCTCTTGAAATCGTTGCACAAATCTTCCACACAGCAAGAATCCAGGGCTGCAGTCTTCTGCTATATGCGTAGTAAAACCTTTGGACGATTTTGCTTTAGGGTGGGCAAGAACAATACAACTCTAAAAAGTAAGTTATTTGGTGAAATTAGTCTTCCTTTAATAGACTTACTTTTGGACGAAATTTAGCTCCAAAAACATGTAGGACTCTGCTTTTACAAGTAGAATCATACTCCAGCTCTACTAGATGACTTTTCTCCCAAGTCACTTTTTACCCAAGTCTTGTCCAGATTTTTACTAGGTATAGAAGGGACCACAGAAATAATAAGAGGCTACCAATTATAGCATTAATTCGAAATTAGCATGAATTAATTCTTACTATAATTAATTGCAACTTATTCCACTAAAAAACTGCAATTGAACTCCTCAATATGAATATCGAAAATTCAATAACACGTATTTTAATTCCCCATGTTAAGATCTCAAATACCAGTTAATTAAATTAAATCACTAAAAATTTAATTTAATCAACTAATTAAATCCTTTGCAGTTCTACTTAAACTATTTCATGTGACGGATACAAAATCCACCAGCCTGGTTTTCACATGAAAACTTATAAGCTTACATAAAGGGGTATCATCAAACTCAAAATCGAGTCATGGATTCTATCAACTAATTATTATTGACGAATGTTATTCGTTATTGTCCAATCTATTAGGCATACACTAACTCTGAATAGAGTTATACCTTTTGATAAATCAAAACAATAAATAAGTTACATTGATCATAATAATTATATCAAGATTAGGAGTATAAGCTCATTTAATGAATTAGAGAAAATATTTTATATATTCAATACAAAAATATCTTTTCTCTACTTGGTCCATTCAATATACACCGAGAGTATATTAGCACAAGAAGTCGGAGTAAAACCACTCCCATAATCAAGACAAATTATACTATAATCTTGTGCTACAATCATCAAGATATTTTGTCCAATAATATTTTTGATTGTGAACATAGTTTATTAATTATGAGAACCAACAATTTAATCTTCTGTGCATGAGCTAAGACTCCATACACTAAATTGTCTACTACATAACTAAAAGGACACACATGTAACAAATAATCTATTTAAAATAGTACTTTATTGAATTGAATAAATTAAATAAATAATTGTTCCATAAAGAATAAAACAAAATACTACGTCTAAACCGCATGGTTAATAGAATATCTCAACAATCTCCCACTTAGACTCATAACCATGCGTCTACTACTCTAACACCCATTCCTTCCACATGCTTGTCAAAAATCTTCTGTGTCAAGCTCTCTGTAAACGGGTCTGCCAAATTGTCCTCTGACACAATCTTCATCACTCTTGCATCACCTCTCTGAGTTATGTCCCGAATTAAGTGATATTTACGCTCAATATGCTTACTCCTTTTATGGTTTCTTGGTTCCTTCGAGTTTGCAACTACACCGCTATTGTCATAATAAAGTACAATCGGTGCTTGAATCGAAGGAACCACATTAAGCTCTTTCAGAAAGTTCCTGAGCCAAACAGCCTCTTTAGTTGCCTCAGATGCAGCCACATATTCGGCTTCCATGGTGGAATCAGCAACACATGATTGCTTGATGCTCCTCCAACTTATGGCTCCACCTCCTAAGGTAAAAACATATCCTGAGGTAGATTTTCTAGAGTCTCTATCTGACTGGAAATCTGAATCAGTATAGCCAATGGGTGCAAGATCACCTGATGATACACCAACATATAATCCCTAGTCCTCTTCAAGTACTTGATTATATGCTTAACAGCAGTCCAATGTTCTCGACCAGGGTTAGACTGAAATCTACTAACCATGCCAACAGCAAAGCAGATGTCAGGTCTAGTACATAGCATTGCATACATAAGACTCCCTACAGCAGAAGCATAAGGGACTGCCTTCATCTTTTCTATCTCATCAGTCATTTTTGGGGACTGTTCTCTTGACAGAGAGATTCCATGGGGAGAAACCCTTTCTTGGAATCTTGCATGCTAAACCTGGTGAGAATAGTATCAATATAAAGTGCTTGGGACAAGCCTAATATCATTTGCTTGCGATCTCGCATAAGCTTGATCCCAAGGATATGTGTTGCCTGTCCCAAGTCTTTCATATCGAAACGTGAGGACAACCATTCCTTTACTGAATTCAACATGCTCACATTATCTCCTATGAGCCAAATATCGTCTACGTACAATACCAAAAATGTAACTTTATCTCCATTCCACTTCTTATAGACACAAGACTCATTTTCACATTGATCAAAATCGAAGGTCCTAATCGATGCGTCAAAACAAGTGTTCCAGCCCTAGAAGCTTGTTTCTATCCATAAATGGATTTCTTTAATTTACACAACATGTGCTCATTGCCACTTTTTATGAAACCAACTGGTTGTGCCATATAGATGCACTCATCAAGACTTCCATTTAGAAAAGCGGTCTTGACATCCATTTGCCAGATCTCATAATCGTAATGAGCAGCAATGTATAAGAGAATCCTAATGGATTTATGCATGGCTACCGGCGAAAAAGTTTCCTCATAATCGATCCCTTCTTTTTGAGTAAACCCTTTTGCAACAAGCGTAGCTTTAAAAGTTTGCACTTTTCCACCCACTCCTCTCTTTTTCTTATAGATCCATCTACAACCTATGGGTTTGACTCCAGTAGGTGGTTCTACAAGATCCCAGACTTGATTGGAGTACATGGACTCCATTTCAAATTTCATAGCATCAACCCATTTATCAGCATCTGTATCATGTAGTGATTCGTCATAATTAATAGGTTCTGTATTAGGATCTTTAGGGATTCTATCATAAGATTCTCCCAAGAGCGCAAACCGGAGAGGTTTTCTAATAATTCTCCCACTACGACTAGTCACTACAGGTGGAGGCTAATTTTATTGTTGAATCACATCATCATTTCCTGGAACTGAAGCCTCAATGTTATCCTCCACACCTTGCGGTGCTGGGATATCATTAACTTCTTCCTGGAGTGCAGGTTGCATAACAATTTCAGGTTGTTCAACAATCTGAGGTTGCTTAACAATCTGAGGTTGCTCAACATTACTCCCACTACTTTGGGGTAGTGAGATGTCAGGCAATTGCTCTTGTGCAATCTGCTGCCTATTTGACATTTCTCCCACTAGGATAATGCAGTGGTATGTCAATACTGGCTTCCGGGATACGTTCTAGAGATGAGTCTTTAGTTACTTCATTGTTTAATTCCTGTAAAACTTGTTTACTTCTAGGAATATGGTTCGTTAGATAGTCCTTTTCTAAAAATCTAGCATTTATCGTAACAATTACCTTCTTTTCTTTGGGACAATAAAACAAACCGCCTTTTGTTCCTTTTGGATATCCAATAANAAAATCTTCTGTGTCAAGCTCTCTGTAAACGGGTCTGCCAAATTGTCCTCTGACACAATCTTCATCACTCTTGCATCACCTCTCTGAGTTATGTCCCGAATTAAGTGATATTTACGCTCAATATGCTTACTCCTTTTATGGTTTCTTGGTTCCTTCGAGTTTGCAACTACACCGCTATTGTCATAATAAAGTACAATCGGTGCTTGAATCGAAGGAACCACATTAAGCTCTTTCAGAAAGTTCCTGAGCCAAACAGCCTCTTTAGTTGCCTCAGATGCAGCCACATATTCGGCTTTCATGGTGGAATCAGCAACACATGATTGCTTGATGCTCCTCCAACTTATGGCTCGACCTCCTAAGGTAAAAACATATCCTGAGGTAGATTTTCTAGAGTCTCTATCTGACTGGAAATCTGAATCAGTATAGCCAATGGGTGCAAGATCACCTGAGTGATACACCAACATATAATCCCTAGTCCTTTTCAAGTACTTGATTATATGCTTAACGGCAGCCCAGTGTTCTTGTCTAGTTAGACTGAAATCTACTAACCATGCTAACAGCAAAGCAGATGTCAGGTCTAGTACATAGCATATCATACATAAGACTCCCTACAGCAGAATCATAGGGGAC